GCCACAGACGGGAGCATTATTTATTCTGGCTTGATATCAACGTCTGCCTCTCTACTCCCTGGTTGTTTTTTATTGTACGTGCTCGCTATCTAGTATTTGCAGTTTCTCTTCTAGTCTTTTCTGCTGCTGCTCTCAACAACCTGTGCTGTAATGCTACCCTGGGGTAGCTTTAAATTTATTGCTTTTGGCTCACAGCCCCTGCAACATAAATAAGCTGAGAGAAACAATGGACTGACGGAGCATCATGCCGGGATTGTTGCACATTAGAAGTGACAGGAAAGCATGCACTTCACTTTTTGTGCTATTGCAAGGAAAGTTCTGTAATGGGTATTCTCCGTTTCTATTTTTCACATTTCCATCCCTGGTAGCAATTCTCATCTCCATACTTTCCCTCCCCGCTAAGACCTGTAACACACTGCCTATAACCACTGCCATTGTTATGAGCTCATCAACAATGGAATCCGAGTCATGATTGTAACAACACATCAGGGGAAAAATAAGAATCTTTTTAGACACTATTGGGAGAAACTTGCTTGGTCAACCTTTTGAAAGCTGAATGTTCTGTTATGTGCCGTTTGCAACAAGCTGAAATGTTGGTTAGTTATGTGTCAGTACAGAGTTAATCTAAGCCTCTTTCAGTGAAGGCTTATCAACTTCATCTGTATTTTTGCACCCAAACACGTTACATAACACTCCCACAAAACTGCTCCTTGGCTTGAGCTGTAAATAAAACAAAATAAAGTTATTTTGGTCATTAGATGAGTTGAGAGCAATTGGTACATTTCTGATGGTTTGAACCTGGAGAACCTGCAATTGTTTGCAGACCAGGCACACACTTAAATATTCAGAGGAAAGTACAGACACTGGAAGCCCATTAGTGTCCTCCAATAAAAAGATGCTCTTATGAATCTTAAAGTAATTGTTTCAGTCTTTTGAAGTTGGTTTTGTGGACAGTGGTTAGATAGTTATCTTACATATTGTCCTTATCAATAATTGGACTGATGAGCTGTTCTATATATAATATAACTATAGCTGTCTATTTTATCACCGGCTCTAGATCAGTCAGGCACCACAAAAAAGCTTATTTTTTTTATCCTAAATGTTCTGGTTCTCCTTTGAAAATGATTTCTTTCAAAATGTCTTTTTTTCAGGTAAAACCATTGACAACCAATAACCACTACATCATATTTACAGGCTAAACTCAATTTTGACTAATTTTAATTTTATAAATAACTCTAAATATGATTTCCTTGAAGGGATAATAGTATTAACATCATAACTGAGCAACAAAAATCAAAACCAGTCGTACTGAGAATTTAAACTTTATTAATTTAGCATGAATTAACTTTTTTCTACGTCTTTTTTTCCTGTTTTTTACACTGACTGCTGAAGTAAACACCTCAGAACTTCAAAATAAAACCACTCACTGCCAAAACTACTTTAGAAATAAAAACAGAGATTTCCAGTTTGCATGCAGAATGATTTATATTTGATCTCTGATTTTCATTGACCTCCTGCAGGCCAGATGGAGATGTCTAATGGGCCAGATGTTGCAAGCAAGCTAAACATTCTCATTAATTCCATTGTTCTATAACCACTTTATAGCTTTATCGAGTTAAACTTTCTACAGAATGACTTTTTTATTTATTACTCAAACTTGATTAAAAAACTCACGTTTTTTTTCCCTATCCATCTATCTCAGCAATCAAACTCTTGAGTTTTAAACTGTTTCAGATTTAATCTAATTAGATTAAATGAGATGAAAAGGCATTTCTTTTTGAAGATATTTTCTTTGCAATATTTTAGCAACAGACACTGACTCACTTTTATATCTCTAAATTCACTAACAGAGTGTCTGTCTCTGTCAGCTTTCTCTCGTTCCCACCCACAACCCCAGCCGTCACTCCCACCCCCCACCTCACTCCTCCTGCAGCCCTCAGTTTTTGTCACGTCCACATTGACTCGAGGTGAGAGGTCTTCTGGCCGGAGACCAGGACAGCTCATAGATCTCTTTGATCCACACAGACCTCCCTGCTACCTGCAGAAAACCTGCTCTGTGTCTCACTGCATTTCTGTTGTAAGCACTGAAGTGAGCACACCAACAATCCAGACAAGTTTTTTTATTAATCAAAAGATTCTCAATTTAAATAGAGCAACATAACTAGGACAACAGATATATATATATAT